AGGTCCTGGGATACAAAATCCCTGCTCTCAACGAGCAAGCTCAGTGTAAGGGAGAGGCTGAGAAACAGAACATGGCAATACAGCCACGTTCTGGCAAGGCCAAGGATGTGGTCTGGGATCCAGGGGAGGGACTGGGGAGGTACACATAACCTCCCCGGAGAGCGATTTCACAGGGGCCAGGCTGCCTTTAGCTGGGGTCCATAACATAGCAGGCAGCTCTACCTGGCCCTTCCCTGAGACAGGACAGCTTCTTCCTCCTGCTGGCCCTGAATAGGAGGACAGGGCCTCTGTGCTCAGCCTTCTGTGGCTCAGAAGTTGCTCCAGGCCACACAGCTGAGCCCCAGCTCTTGTGGTTTCCAAGGCCCTGCTCAGTTGCCTCAGCCTCTCTCTCCCTGCTGATGACTCACCAGAGAGGCTACAGCTCTTCCTTCTGCTTTCTGGGTGGAATGTTTTCATTCCCAAGATTGGGTGTGGGCAGAGCCAGGACCACAGGGACCACAAGGCTGTGTTGAGTCCCCCGAGCAGACAGCGTTTCCTTGCTAAGTTCCCGCCAGACTCCAGAGCCAAGCCTCAGACAAGTGCGTCAGCTGTGTCCCCACTGGGAGGTCAGGCCTGCTGGGCCCCTTGGGAGGCCTTAAAACCGAACGCCATGCCCACGACTGGCAGACAGCGACTGACACTCTTGCTTCTTGTTCTCCTCCCCAACCTCTTCCTTCTTTGCCCCCGGGGAAGGCAGGACCCTGTCACCCAGGGAAGGGAATATCCCACTAAGGGACTGATTACCCTGTGGGTACCCCCTGGGGCTCCAAGCCAGCCCTTCCCTTGCAGTGGTGCCCTTTTAGCAGGAACAGGGCTGGGTCCTGCCATTTCAGCTGGCATCTCCAGGCCACCTCTGCCGCCTCCTCTTCCCTTTCACACGGGGTGAGGCCAAGGGGAGCCTTTATTCCCTCCTCACTCACCAGGAGCCCTGCTGAGCACTGGCATTCATCCATGGCACCGGAGCCAGCAAGAGCAGCTCCTTTCAAACCCCCAGAGAGAAGCAAAGCCTGGAGAAGGCCGTCCTCGGGCCCTTTGTTGAGGACTTGGTTCCCAGGCTTTTGATCTCCCAGGCTCCCTGGCCAGGCCCCACCGGAGCGACCGCCATAATACGGCCATTGTGACCCCAGCACACCAAGCCCGTGGTGGGCGTCCCTCTCCAGGCTGGCACCTGAAAGCCGTGAATGCCGGCTTGTCACGCAGAGAAGTTACAGTATCCTGAAGGAGAAGGGCCCTCCCGCGGGAGATACAATGGACGGAGGCCTGTGGGAGGCCAGCGCCTTTGTGTGGGAGAAGTCGAGCGTGCTGCTGAGTGTGCACGCTGGGAGGGCCCTGCAAACAGCAGGCAAACAGCCTGGAGACTTCGGGGACTTGAAAGGTGGGGCAAGGGCCAGCCTCTGAGGAGTCGGCCTTTTACAAAAAGTTTCACTACCCTCCTCCTCCTCCCTCACCAACTCCCACTACTGCAGAAAAGTGGCTGCTTTGGAGAGGGGAGCACATTCTCTCACTCCCATCATGGGCCTCTGACCCAGAGGTGAGGCCGGGCTGGCAGGAAGGGAGACCTCCCGAGAATCCTCGTGCAGTCAATCACGCGCGGGTGCGTGGGTGTAGTGCGGAGTCCCGGGAATAAACCGCTTCTCTGGCTCTGGTCACCTGTCCTGCAGGTGACCTGGAGACTGAAAGCACAACAGTACTTTGGAGGATGGAATGAGTTACGTGCCAATACCCTGGTCAGTAATCCAGCTTGAGTGGCGGCTTCTTAGGGGATGGTTGGCCCCTGCTGCCTGCGACCACGCCTACCTGTGACCACGCCCACCTGCGACCACGCCTACCCATCCTCCCGCCCAAGTGAGCCGCGGCAAAGCCCTCCCATAGGTTAAGGGGTTTTTCACCTCCAGCCTGACTCCTTAGTTTTTGCTTCAGCCAGCCATCTCAACACTCCCCTCCCACAGGCAAAATAAACCTTTTACCAAGGGGCAGACGGAGGCCCCGAGAGTCCTCTCTTTATCTGGAAAGCCGTGTCCTCAGTCAGGATGGGCACCACTGTGACCACTTTAGCTTCTTAGTATCCAGCGACATGGGGTGAAATGTCTGGCTTAGGATCCCTCTTGGGCTAAGGAACACCTCCTGAGCTGTCCCTTAATAAAGTCACCTCCTCAAAGTTGGCAGCCGGCGGTGGGGGTGGAGGTGATGATAGCGCACGTGGGGCAGCTGATAAAGTATCCGCAACAGTATCCACAACTCCAGGCTTTGTAATCCTGGCTCCACGTGACCTTAATCCTCACTTACTTCCCCTGTAAACCTGGAAACAGCAGTGTCTGCTCCATGGCCCAGCATTCAGTGCCCCCAGCACCATGCCCAGGACGAGGTCTGTGTCCAGTAGCTTCCCTTGCCATCAGCTTCCTTGCAACTCTGAAGCCCTTTCAATTCCTCTTGCTCATCACCTGTCTTCCAAACCCCCCCAAGGTCCTCCCCTTATAGTCATCCCTCTCTGTTTACTCAGCTAACTCATATTCATCCTGCAGGTCCCATCACAGACATCATCACTTCCTCCAGGTACTCTTCCCTGATTCCCTAGTCAAGGTGAGGTCCGCGTGCCCTGGGTTCGTGGCCCCTGTACTTGCCCCCTGAGAACAAGTGTACACTGATGAGACACTGCCTTGTTTGTGACTTCTCCCCTAGGCTGTGTGTGCTGGAGGGCAGGAATGGGTTGGCTTCATTCACAGATATGTCTATAGCACCTCCCAGAGTGCCAGGACAGGGTCTTAGTACACATTTGCTGAAATAATTTAAAATTAGCCAAAAGAGGGTCACGTCCTTCCCTCCCTGCCCCTACTGTGACAACTCATCAGAGGCAGGGACTGTCCTAGGTACAAGAATAAAACCTCAAATCTTTAATTTGGCAAAAATGTGCATTATTATTTTAGTTGGAAAGCTAAAGCTATCCCCTCTTAGAGTGAATCCTCACTGAACAAGCTTCCCAATCGACTCTTGTTCCTGGGATAGGACACCAGAATAAGCCACCACAAAATATGCCTCTTGGGCATAAGGATTTATCAACTGAAGGCAGTTAAGAAGCAGATACAGGAAGCTCTCTGTCCTTCCTCTATTTGCTTAAAGGCGCTATAGAGATGTATAAAGACAAAAGGTATCCCATCCCACTTCTACCAGGGAGAGCAAAGGTTAACCACTGAAGACAATTTTAGACCCTTATCAGCCAGCAATGGCACCAGAGAAACCTACATGAACAAGCCTCACTAACCAGCCCTTATCTGCCATCTACTTCCCTTGCCACAAGCTGCCTCCCCGGACTCAAAGTTGTTTTTCTTTGCCTTGTCACTTCTCTAGAAATTTATTTTTTGTTGTTGAAGATGCTATATGAGCTGAAATTCAAAGCTACGTATTTAAGAACTACTATCTCCCTGGGTGTGACCCATGTATGTATGAAACCTACAGTATTAATAAGCTTCTGTTTGTTTTTCTCCTATTAATGTGTTATAGGGGTCTGTTCCAACTAAGAGCTTAGGAGGGTTGGAAGAAAAACTGTTTTTCTTCCTCTACACTGGCATTAGGCCCAAACAATGGTGGCATTCCTGCCATGGCCCAGCTAGCTTGCTGACATCCTGACAGCTCCCTGGATGCCCCTGTCCCCCAAAGTCGGTGAGCCGAGCCAGCAGGAACGTGGGCTCCAGGGAGACTGCAGCAACATGGCGCCCAGCTCAGAGTGGGGCTGCAGAAGGCTGTTTTCCTTTAGTGTCACTGAAACTGGCTCGTTCCAGCTCCTGGGAGGAATGAGTGAAGAAGGGAGGGAGGAGAGAGAAGAACCAGCAGGCAGCAGGCTGAGGCCAGCACCCTCCGATCTGTGGTGGCTGTGGTTAAGCTGGTGTCTCCAGAAAAACATGATCAGGGTGGTGAAAACGGCCAGCTGGCCCTGGCTCTTGTTGTGGTAAGAGGCCCAGGAAGGGGCAGGAACCTCACTGGAGGACACTCCTTTCTTTGAAGCTCAACTACTACAACTCCATTAAAGCGAGAAGAGGGGGTATCAGGCTCCCAATTTGAGTAATCCATTTCCGCCTCTGCATCTCTCTGTGGGTGCTGGCTCCCCTGGCCCCGAAGTACCGTTGCTGCCATCATCTAGCATTTTTTGAGTGCCTACTATATGCCAGGCACCATTCCTGGGGACAGAATAATGAATAAAATGTTTCTGCATTTCAAGGGTTTATATTTCAGACAATAACTGGGTTTATTATTATTAGAAGCCTTATCATACAGCTATTTCTACAAAGACTGGTCTGAGAGCTATTTTGTATTATATTATAGAGATATTTGTACTGAACCCATCTAGGCTGCAGTGTCACTGAGAGAAGGAACAGATCTGATTCATCTCCAGATTTTCCAAGGTGCCTGGTACAGAGCCTGACACTCACTGATGCTAGGTTTACAGCCATCAAAAAACGGCCCCAACAGGATTTGTCCCCAAATCGAGGAGCCCCTTTCCTTGCCATGTGGTGGTACCTACAGAAACGGAGTGGGAGACAGCAGCTCGAGAACATCTGGCCACGCATACAAGCTGGCCTGGCATTTCCAGTTGGTTTCAAAGGGAAATCCATCACAGTAGGTTTCTCTACTCACCCAGAGGAAGAGTGTAACAAAGCACAGTTTCTGGTATCAGATACAGAAAGATTAATGTCCTAGGCACACCAAAATGATCGAAGCCACTGATCAAAGATGTGGATCAGACAAGCACCACCACAAAGGCATAGTATCGGTCCTTGGGGAGGAATCATCAAGGGGTAGAAGTTACTGCAACCTCCAGAGGCCAGGAACGTGAGTGCTTAAGATGCAGAGATTTGCTCTGACCCACACAGGAAGCAAAAGGCTGGGCACATAATCAGTGCTCAGTTAAACAGTGCTGGTATCATGATCACCAGGCCTCTTGACAACTTGAGAGCTGCACTCCTTACCCAGCGTGTACGTGGGGCCTGAGAAGCTACGGTCCCCGCTGATGCCGAGGAAAGGAGAAACCACTTGCTTCACCAGCTCCTCCAGTTGCAAATAACTCTCACTTGGGCCTGTGGGCTCGTGAACACTCTGGAAAATGAACAACCAAGATACACAAAGGTCAGTGTTCATTGCCATGACCAGCAGGTTCTCATTCAACAAATCCTGATTGTCCTCCTCCAATGTACAAGTCTGTGTTGCTGGCAGGCAGCATCGCTGCAGTTAGAATGAAGGAAACTGAGGCCTGAAGCCTTAGTCACTCGCCATGGGTCACTGCAATTAGAACTGTGCATGGTTAGTACCACAGCAGCCTCTCCCATTGGGCCACCAATACAGTGTGGGTGTCCCACCTCCAAGGCTGAGATCCGACTGGTTTCAAGGACAATAATCTTACCCACATGCACTGGTTCATACACAGCACAGAGACATTTAACATATATAATGCACAGAGGTCTCCTGCTAATGCGAAAAGGAAGGTCCTCTTATTATCCCCCTTCTATGGATGAAGAACTAAAGACCCAGAGAGCTTAACTACCTTGCCCAGAAAAACACAGCCAGTAAATGGCAAAAACCCTGGACTGGAACCCAGGCTATCTGGCTCTGATCCCCTCTTCTGCCACTTGCTAACAGGCTAGAAAAGAAGGGAAGAAAGAATATGGAAAAGTTCAGGGTGATAAGAGAAAAGGAGAATTCTTCTAGAGCCAGGAATAGTTTTAGCCCCAAATGAAGAGCCAGTTAAAAACCCCAGCATGACAGAAGTCCTCAAAGCTAAGCCCTGAGTAAAGAACAGTCAAAACCAGAAAGAAGCCAGTAACCAATGTTTTCTAGAAAACTGGCAGACTCCTAGGGAACTCAGCTTCTTGCTGGAAAGGACTCAAACATGCTGTCATGTTGAGGGGCTGCAAAGAAGCAAAGCCCACCTGGCAGAAGAAGGGACTGGCCAGGAAAGAAACAAGTCTCCGTGGGGCTGTGCCCAGCCCAAGGGGTTAACATGTCAAATTCTCGAAATGGAGTAGACTGTAAATCACTTTCACTTTCAAAGTAGACTCCACTCCAGTGCGGTGTTTCAGGGATTGAAGGGGAAACTGGTCAGGTAATGAGGCAGGAAGGGCTGACTCCTGCAGGCTGGTGATCCCAGGGGGAGAGGTAAGCTGCCAAGGAAACAGGCTCTTCCTGGGCCCCTTTTTGGTACCATCACACTGAGATGGGTGTGGCAGGGGCTGGGGGAGAGAGGACACAGCTTCAGGAAATACAAGGAGGCTGAGGAGGGGGCTATGGTGCAGATTTGGAGGTAGAAACAGAGCCAGAAGAAATGCAGAGAAAATGAGTGGCTTCTCCCCCAAACCTTCCATACATGCGAAACAGGGAGGGACCACAGAAAAAGGAGAAGTGGCAAAAAGTGGGAAGAAAATGGATAATGAACACGTGATTTGGAGCTGGATGGTTTTCTCCCAGAAAAGTCGCTGCTGAGAACTTGGCTTGTGCACAGCCCTCTAGGAAGGTGCTGTCCTCAGCCCCTGGCTTGGCTGCCAAACAGCTATGGAATTTGTGTGGTCCAGCGTAAAATGAAAACGCAGGGCCCCGTGTTCAAAACTCATTAAGAATGTCAAATGGTGATGGGAGAAAATAAAACAAGCTCAGGGTCCTCTGAGCACAGGCTGCACACTCTGCCTGGCTGGGACCCCTGAGAATGCACCATTCTTACAGTGGTCTCAGGACCTGTCTGCATCAGCTGGGAGGGAACTGATCTTCACACTGGTCTATATCTCTGACTGTGCCTCTCACTGGGGTGGTTTGAAGGCAGCACACGTGGCCCACTGTAGGAGTATTTGTACATTTTGGGAAGGGTAGAGTGGGGTCAGGGACACTGTGGAAGAGCAACAGAAAAGACAGAGCTGAAGGCCTAAGAAAGAGCTTCTTTCTCTGTAGTAGGCTCAGGTAGTTTTGAAAAAGATCAGCCCCAGGTCTCATGGCACTCTGGAAAGTGCAGGTCTAGGCAGATAATGGACAATTCTAAGTACTGAGGCCCAAATTTCCTGTAGCAGATATGGCCCCAGGGCAGTGCCACCTGGAAGTTTCATTCAGATCCAGAGGCCACCGCCCCTGCTGCTCAAGATGGACTTGGGCCAGGGAAAGATTCGAGTTCTTCACAGCCATACCCCCAGCCCCAGGCTCTAGAGCTCCTGGTGAGGAAAAACATGGGCCAAAGGCACCGTTCCCAGGAAGCCCTCGGGGAAGTGATGCCAGATGCCCTGCAGGAGAGTGGACGATCTTTAATGGTCTGTAGGGTGCCTGTGGGGCGTTTCCCAGTACCCCGGGAGACTGCAAAAGGAAGGCAGTAGTTGCCAAGAAAGGCTAAGTGGAGGTAGGAAGACAAGGGCTAAGGGATGGGGAGCAATCAAGCTCTGTTATCAATGAGTACAAGACCTTGAGAAAAGCCACCACCTTCTCTGAACCTCCATCTCAGCTGTGAGATGGGGAAAATAATGGTATAGACACAGGAGGAACTGCTTCCTTGCCTGACTTTCCAGAAATTCACCATGACCCCAGAGCTTCTCTGACTGTACTTCCCTCTGCCAAGAGAAGAAGCCCTGCATGATGGTCACCAACATGGGTGTGAGGCCAGGGACCCAGAGTCAGTTCTGCTCAAGCTTCTACTATATTCCATGGCCAGTGTTTCATTAATACCTATTATGTGTTAAAGACTGTGCTGGGTGCTGAGGGCTCAAGGGCAAGGAGAAAACATTGACCTGCCTTGATTAGACAGGGGATTGAGGGGCCCGGAAAACAAAGTGTTCTGAGCAGGAGGAACATTGAGTACAAAGATCCCATGGCAGCCAGGAGAAGCCAAGAAGACCAGAGCAGTGGGGAAGTCAGGTTCCAGGCAGGGATGGAAGGGTGGGAGATGCCGAAGGCGAGGGTATAGACTTGGGCTGTTTTTCTAAGATCGATTGGAAACCACTGAAGAGTTTGAGGCCGTCCCATGGAGAGCAAATTGGGGTGGGGACTAGAGTGCTTGAGGGCAGGTTCTCCTGGGCAAGCAGTCTCACCTGTCTTTGGGGACTCAGGGCTATGATGACAGCTTTCTCATACGGTTGCAGGGCTACCTGGCCCAGGGCCCAGAATGTTGGAATGTGATAGGTCTCTTTCATTATAGACACAGGCCCTCCTGTTCCAGCAGTGACAGGTGAGAGCCTTCACCTGCAGGACTGGATCAATTCTCCTTCCCACAAAACCAAACAAACCACCACCACCCAAAACACAAAGGAATCGCTTCTCAGCTCTAAACTATTATAAACTGAAATGGGAAGATGGGAGCCCAACTTTCCGAATTTTCCTATCAGAATCCCAAAGGGCTCATTTTCAAGACTCCTTATTCAGGAAGCACGATCTAATTAAGGCTTCTCAGACCCGAGCCCCACCTGCATTTTTCTATCCCCCTCCTTCTCCATCCCTTCCATAAAAATACTTGACCTGGCATTCCGGCCAATTACACCCACCCTCACCCTATCAGGCAACTCTTCCTCCTCTCTAATTATAGGAAAGGGGGAGAATGCCCAGAAGGAAGGCCCAACTTCAAGGACTGAAACATAACACCAGCTGGGGGATGTGGGGGAAGGATTGGGGCCCCAATGCCTGACATTCCATCACTGCTGTGAGGGCAGCAAGGGGTCACCACTAGCCTGATCAAGGATGAAGCCATCTTCCCTGAGGAAGGGCTCAGAGCTAATGCTGCAGCATCTGAACTTGTTACGGAGATGAAGAGGCATAGCAGTCACCTCTTGGGGGTGTCCCTAGCCAGAAACTCTAGTCTTTGAGAACTGTGTGCCCCCACCCATAGGAATGAGTTTGCCAAGGCCATGTTTATACTGCTTGATCTTATTCAAGGGTCATGGCTGATCGGGCAAAGAGGAATCATCTAGCCCAAGCTGGACCAATTAAATTATTTCCTCTGGGGAGGAACCATGGTGTGCATAATTCCAAATCTTACTACCTCTTCCTCGCTGAGGGACCTCAGGCAAGCACGCAAACTTCCTAGGTTTCATTTTCCTCACCTCTAAAATGGGAATAACAACAATGCCTACTTCATACAGTGATTGTCTGGATTACCTGATTAAGGAAACAACACACTTAAAGTCCTTGGCCCGTGCCTGGCACATAGCCAAGGACCAATAAGTGTTAGCTCAACTTCCTAGTATTGATTTAGAATTGGGATTGAGTGACACTAGGCAGCCACTAGCTAGTCTCTTACTGGAAGCACATCAACTGTGAGGTGTCACCTTCGATCAGGTAAAAACCAAACACAGAACACAAACCTGCAAGGAGAGAAAGACCAAGTCCAGGAAAGATAGGACAAGACGAAGACAGACAAGGTAGCCCAGATACAAGTAGAGACTAGGAAGCAGAGGAAGGATGGTGCCTTCCTGGCCTGAGACAGCCTCATTCCTGGTTGTAATCCCTCCTGAAGTCCCTCTGCCTTGGGAGCTTTCCAGGGAGTTCCTCATCTGCTTAAGCTAGGCCAAAGTGTATTCTTTGCTGTGACTTGCAACTTGTGGCTCCCTGGCATCACTGGAGAGGGGAAAAGGGTATCTACTTCCTGAATGAAAGACTATGCTTCCTTCACTCCCCAGTGCAATCTTGGCACCAAGCACAGCACCAGGACCTAACAGGTGCTCAGTGAATGCACATCAAATGAACAAATGAATGAATGAATGAATGAATGAATGAATGAATGAATGAATGAACGAACGAACACGGGCCAACAAACTAAATAGTAGTTAGCCAAGCTAAGGTGCTCTGGTCACTAGGTTCCTTCCCCCTTATCTCAAAAAAGCAGTCTCTTCCCTCGCTCCCTCCCTTGGCCTTGGGGCAAGTCTCCAGCACAGCCTCACCTGCAGGATGAGCAACATCTGGACAATGGACGAGGGCAGCTTGGACTGGGCCAGCAGCAGCAGATCACCCAGCTTCACCTTCAGCAGGACCAGGTCTCGGAAGCCCAGCAGGGAGATCTGGCGGATAGTCAGCTCCTGGCCCTAGAGAGGACAGAGAAGGAAAGGCTGTGAGGTGAGATCTCACTGAATCTGCCACGGATCATGTGAAGCTCAAGACAACGCATGTTTACATAGCACCAAAGATGGGATGAGGCATCTGCAAGGGCCAGTGTGTCTTTCAAAGAGCCAAAGACCAAGCTCCTCTAGAATTAAAATGTCACTAAGATAAGGCATGACTCAACCTGCCTACCTAAATGACCCAAAGACAATACAAGACACATATAATCAGGGTCACACTATTATAAGTGCTATAACTGGTCAGGAAGGAGAGAAAGAGAAAGATGGGAGAAACAAAGAAGAAGATCAACACTACCTCCCTACATTCAAGGCTGTTTTCCCAACTTCATCTATAATACATCTGAACACCTATCATACAAATAAAGAAGAAAAACACGGGACCTCTTAGATTGTTGTATAAATACCAATAATTGAGGAAGAAAAATAAATAGGAAAGTAGGAGGAAAGGGATTTGTTCAATTGTTGGGATGCGGTAGGGAGCAGAAGGTGAAAATAATAACTATCAGTAAGCTAACATGTATTAAATTCTATGTGCCAGGCATGATTCTACATAGTTTAGATGTAAACAACACATGTAATCCCCACAACCACCCTTTGAGATAGGTACCATTATAAAACTCATTTCGCAGATGAAACACCCAAACACCCAGAGAGTTACTATAATTCAACCAAAGTAGAGCTGCTTTCAAACCCAAACTTCTTGATTTTAGAGCTCCTCAAGTTTCCCAAGACCAAAAGAGAAAGGAAGGTACATTTTTCAGACTCTCCTTTGCACACATACATACAAATGCACATTAGAAGTCGGCTGTTCTTGGTAGAACCAAAGACATCATTAGGGTACCCTCCCAAGCTGACGAAGGTTTAAGGATGTTTTCTACTTCCTGCAACTCCGTAGAGTTTTATAGAAACATGGTCAAGAGTGGTTTTGCTATCTCCATATCCCCTGATCCCCCACATCCAACAGATACACACAATCACCACCCATACCTTTCAATAACATAAAAAATTATAGCGCTCACATTATGTTGAGTGCTTTAAGTTATCTTATAATGAGGGACTTTGATTGGGTTTTTATTCCTTCAATATCTTTTAAAAGTTGGCCAGTTGGTACTACCTCTGTTGGATGGATTGATGGACAGAGATGCTAAGGCAACAGGAGAGAGCCAGCATTAGGCAGCATTATTCTGGCCAGGTCCTGGCTCTTGGTCCTGTGTGATGCTGGAAGCAGAGGAGACATAACCAACTTTTGGTTCACAACCTTCCAGGGAAGTGAACAACAGAACTGTCTGATTTAAACTATACAATGTGGGAAGAGAGAAAAAGGAAGACTGGGGCAGGCAACCTTCTAGAAATTAGAATAGCAATTCTGGTGGGAAGGAAAGACTGCAAGGCAAAAGGAAACAATTCTAGGACCTCCTGCTCCAACAACTGCCAAATCACTTTCCAGAACTGATTTTCTAGGAATTCCCTAGAAGGTCATCAAGGCATCCCGAAGGACCCTTCATTCCCCAGAACCGCACTCCAAATAGACAATTATTTTGCCTTACTGTTTTTGGTTTTGTATTTACATCATAAAAAATTTAAAGGCAAAGATTAAAAGAGATCAGAAAAAAAGGGCTTAAGGTAAAGTTACAAGTCCTCTTCGTCTAATCTCTTATTCTCACTCCACACTGGTAACTGCTCCTTGAAGTTTTCACTTATATTCTAGATTTCTCCAGAAAGCTCCTATATCCACAAAACCACACATAAAACCTTTAAACCCACACAGATATTATACCCCTCCTACTGTTCTGAAACTTGCTTTGGTTCACTTTGTATATTTTGGAAATCTTTTCATACCAGCATATACTGACCCACCTCACTCTTAAGGCTGCGTAATATTCTACCACTGTATGAACACACTCTGTGTAACCAACCAACTCCTGACCAAGATGCTTTCATTTGCACACGTGTGTGTGTGTGCGTTTCAAACATATTTATCCATGCCATGTTGGACATATTTTGTCAGCATATCCAGATTATTGTCCTGCAAAGGAAAATTGCTCAATCCAAATATGCCTTTAAAAAGTCTTTAAAAAAATACTGCCATGTTGCTCTCCAAAAAGACTGCATCCGTGTGTACCCCTAGCAACAGTGTATAAGAGAGCCTACTGTCTCACACCAACTGGGAGGATGATTTCTTAAGTAGGATGGTTAGGAAAATACATGTCATGACCCCACTTAGGCAACTCTCGCGAGCTGTGCCCACACTTCCATAACAGTGCCAGTATATGGTAGATACTCATCCATAACAGTGCCAGTATATGGCAGACACTCATCCATAACAGTGCCAGTATATGGTAGACACTCATCCATAACAGTGCCAGTATATGGTAGACACTCATCCATAACAGTGCCAGTATATGGTAGACACTCAACAGTCATCCATTGTCAACTCATCTGCTCAGCCGATGACATAGGAAAACCACATCCAAATAACTGGATTATCTGCTGTGATTCCAACACATTTTATTGTACAGAGAATAGTAATGATAATGATATTGATGATGATGATGATGACAATTATTAAGCCCTTACTGTATGTCATATGCAAAATTAAGTGCTTTTCATGTATTATCTCACTTACTCTTCTTAACACTCCTGTGAAACAAGTTTTATTATTTTCTAGAAGAAAACCAAGGCTCAGAGAGGCAAAGTTATCTTCCCAAGAATATCAAGATGATAAGCGGCAGACTGAGGACGTAAACCCAGGTCAGTGACTTGGTTTGGATATTCGTCTCCTCCAAATCTCATGTTGAAATGTTTTCTCCAGTGTTATAGGTGGGGCCTAGTAGTAGGTGTTTGGGTCATGTGGGCGGATCCCTCATGAATGGCTTAGGTGCCCTCCCCTTGGTGATAAGTGAGTTCTCAATTAATTCACATGAGAGCTAATTGTTTGAAAGAGCCTGGTGCCTCTTCCCCCATCTCTTGCTTCCTTCTCTCATCATGTGATACACTGACTTCCCATCACCTTCCACCATGGTTATAAAAGTTTCCTGAAGCCTCACCAGGAGCAGATGCTGGTACTGTGTTTCTTATAGAGTCTGCAGCACTGTAAGTCAAATAATAAACCTTGTTTTTTTCACAAAAAAAAAAAAAATTACCCAGTCTCAGGTATTCCATCATAGCAATGCAAAATGAACTAATACAGAAAATTGGTATAAGGAGTAGAATGTTGCTAGGAAGATACCTGAAGGTATGGAAGCAGCTCTGGAAGTGGGTAATGAGCAGAAGTTGGAAGTTTGGAGGGCTCAGGGCTCAAAATATGACAAAAAGACAAGGTAAGGTTTGGACCTTCTTTGAGACTAGTTAAATGATTATAACTAAAACACTGATAGAAATATGGACAGTAAAGGCCAGGCTGAGGTGGTCTCAAATGGAAATGAGGAAGTTATTGGGAACCAGAATAAAGATCACCCTTTTTATGCCCTAGCAAATAACTTGTCTGCATTGTGTCCATGCCCTGGGGATTTGTGGGAGGTTGAACTTAAGAGTGATGACTTAGAGTGTCTGGTAAAATAAATTTCTAAGGTGGGTATGGTAGCTCACAACTGTAATCCCAGCACTTTGGAAGGCTGAGGCGGGCAGATCACAAGATCAGGAGTTCGAGACCAGCCTAGTCAATACGGTGAAACTCTGTCTCTACTAAAAATACAAATATTAGCCAGGCATGGTGGCAGGCGCCTGTAATCCCAGCTACTTGGGAGGCTGAGGCAGGAGAATCACTTGAACCCAGAAGGTGGAGGTTGTAATGAGCTGAGATTGTGCCACTGCACTCCAGCCTGGGCCACAGAGTGAGACTCTGTCTCAAAAAAATTCTAAGCAGCAAAGCATTCAAGATGTGGCATGGCTGCTTCTAACAGCCTAAAATCAGGAATAGGTGTAAAGGAATGACTTAAAGTTGGAACTTATAACTAAAAGGGAAACAGAGCATGAAAATTTGGAAAATTTGCAGCCTGGCCATGCAGTGAAGAAGGAAAAGGCATTTGCAGGAGAGAAATACAAGAGAGTTGTGGAACAATCACTTCCTAGAGAGATTTGCATGACTAAAAGGGAAACAGGTGCTGATAGCCAAGACCACAGTTTTAAAAAGGCCTTGAAGTCATTTCAGAAACCTCTGGGACAGTCCCTCCCATTACAGGCCCAGAGACCTAAAAGGAAATAATGGTTTTGGAGGCCATGCTCAGGGGATGCCCAGTGCTACCTCAGGATATTGCTCCCCACATCCCAGTTTCTCTGGCTCCAGCAGTGGCTCAAAGTGCCCCAGGTACCATTCCAGCTGCTACTCTGGAGGGAGCAAGCTATAAGCCTTGGTGGCGTCCACATAGTGCTAAGTCTACAGGTGCACAGAGTGCAAGAGAGAAGGAGGCTTTGCAGCTTCCACCTAGATTTCAGAAGATGTATGGAAAAGCCTGGGTGCCTAAGCAGAAGCCTACTGCAGGGGTGGAGCTCCCACAGAGAGACTCTACCAGGGCAGTGCCAAGGGGATATGTGGGGTTGGAGCCCCTGACACGGTCCACAAAGGGCCACTTCCTAGTGGAGCTGTGGGAAGGGGTTGCTGCTCTCTACCCCTTCCCACAGACCCAAGAAGGGCAGAGCCACCAGCTTGCACCCTGAGCCTGGAAAAACCACAGGCACTCAACTCCAATCTGTGAGAGCAGACCCAGGGGCTGGCACCCTTCAAAGCCACAGGGGCACAGCTGCCCAGGGCCTTGGGAGCCCATCCTTTGCGTCAGTGTGCCCTGGATGTGGAACTTGGGGTCAAAGACTATTTTGGAGCTTTAAGATTTAATGTCTGCCAGGAGGCTGAGGCAGGAGAATGGTGTGAACCCAGGAGGCTGAGCTTGCAGTGAGCCAAGATCGCACCACTGTACTCCAGCCTGAGCGACACAGCAAGATTCTGTCTCAAAAAAAAAAAAAAAAAA